TACCTTGCCACTGTCTGGCTCCTCCAGCACCTAGTGCCCTGTGTCTATGTCTTAAGACCAACTCTGCCTTAGACACCTATGTGTCCTCCTATCCCAGCCCTCAGGAACCCCGAGTTGTGAGCTTGATTTTTTTTTTTTTTTGGTCCCCACGAGATGGGGAGTGTTCTTGATGACATTACCACATCTTTCAGTACCTTCCCCAGTGATAGTGGGTAGAAAGTATTTGACAGCAGGCTGATGAACAAAGGGTATGTGCTGGACTTGACCCGAAACCCCACCAGAATGCCGAGGCAAGTGCTCACACGGTAGAGCCAGGCAGGTCTTGGCTCAAGTCCCAGCTCCACACTGATTCAGGGTGGGATGTGGAGCAAGGAAGCCCTCTCAAGGCGCCATCGCTTCATCAGTGAAGTGGGTGTAATAGTATGTATCTAGCATGGATGTTTTGAGAAGGGTTGAGTGAGATAGCATACCAGGCATATAGGAGATTCATAAGCCTGCAGCCAGGTGTGGCTCCTGTTATGACAGCGGTCCCCAAATTTTTCGGCACCAGGGACCAGTTTTGTGGAAGATAATGTTTCCACAGACCGGGGAGTGGGGTGGGGATGGTTTGGGGATGATTCAAGAGCATTATACTTATTGTGTACTTTATTTCTACTATTACTACATCAGCTCCGCCTCAGATCATCAGACATTAGATCCCGGAGGCTGGGGATCCCTGAGTGATGGGACCCCAGCAGTGAGGGTGTTGGGAGGTCGACAGCCTGGATTCAGAGACACTGGGCACTTTCAGGAGAGAGGTGTGCAGACACGGCTGAAGACAGCCAGAGAAGAGCACCATGAACTTGAAAAGTGCCCTTCTAGATCAGCTTGAAGAACATCTCCCTGGGCTGACTTCACCCAGCACATCCCAGCCGTGGTGTGGTGATCCCAGGGGCACAGGGTCACAAGATGTACCTCTCTGCTCTCCAGGAATACCCCCCACCTCCCTGCCAAAAACAGCTCGTCTCCCCCACCCAGGCCCCAGGTAAGCAGGCATCAATCTACCTGGTGAGCAGGACCCATTTCAGGCCTGCTGAGATTTCATCTCACGAAACATTGACACCACAACCACCTTCTTTTTTCCTCCCTGCCAACCTCTGTCATCCCTAGAAACCTTATCGAGCTGGCTTCTCCTTGGCTTACAGACAAGACAACTAATCACGGACCTTAGAGCTCAACAGCCTCCAAAGCAGCTGCCCCCATCCTGGGCCAGGATGAGAAAATCAATGTGCCTCTGAGTTGCTGTCTGTGCCGAGGGCCCCAGCCTCTGAGAACAAAAGCAGCCAGGCCTCAAGCAGTTTCGTGAACAGGGCTGGAAGTTTTCCTGGCCTGAGGGAAGGCTTACAGCAAGTGATGTGTTAAACGGTGGATCCAAATATCTTTATCATGCCCTTGAAGAGAGGAAACTGTGCGGGTGGTAGAAAAATCACAGCCCCAAGACCCGGGCAGGGCTGTCTGCCTCACCCAGCAGTAGGGGTAGCTGGCGGGCACCGTGTCTGGCATGATATAGGTAATCAGTCCACAGAAACCACTGGATTGAATCCAATGAAGAAGAAAGTGAAAGTGCTAGTTGCTCAGTCCTGTCTGACTCTTTGTGACTCCATGGACTGTAGCCCACCAGGCACCTCTGTCCATGGAATGCTCCAGGCAAGAATACTGGAGTTGAGTGCCATTCCCTTCTCTAAGGGATCTTCCCAACCCAGGGATCAAACCTGGGTCTTAGGCATTGCAGGCAGATTTACCATCTGAGCCTCCAAGGGGGACTGAAGAAGGAAGAAGGGTCCAAACTGGGAAGCCCCTCCCCTTGTGAGATTCAAAACCCACCCGCGTTCACATGGCAGTATCCCAGGTGCAAAGGACCACCTGCCCACTCTCCCCAGAAGGACCACTGGGCTTCAGTTACTGGTCTAGCTCAGAACAAAGGCAGGAGAAATACCACTGAGAGGTGGGACTTGTCTTCCTTTGGGACTGTTTACAAATCCTGCCCAGGGCAGACAATCCACATCAGAGGACTTCCATGAACACCAGAATGAACGAGCTCATCCCCACAAGTAACTGAGAACAACTCCAGTTCACACTGAACGGGGTACCTTCTTTCACCTAGCAGCACACAAGAGGCACAGAAGAAATGGTCATTCTCAGTGCTGGTGGGAGGGTGGTTGGCACAACCACTCGGGAGCAATTTGGCCATATCCAGTAAGACTGAGGGGCTTCCCAGGTGGCACTGGGAACCCACCTGCCAATTCAGGAGATGCAAGAGACGCAGATTCGATCCCTGGGTCAGGAAGATCCCCTAGAGGAGGAAATGGCAACCCACTCCAGTATTCTTGCCTGGAAAAATCCCATGGACAGAGGACCCTGGCAGGCTACAGTCCATGGGGTTGCAAAGAGTCAGACATGACTGAGCAACTGAGTAAGACTGAAAATTCTCAGACCCTACACCCAACAATGCCAAGCCTTGCACAAGCAGGCAAGGATCATAACATTGACCCAAACATCATAATGTTGGAAAACTGGAAAGAATCCACAAAGTCCACCCACCAAGGAGGGTCTCAAATGCTCCTAAGTTGAATACTCCAGAACAGTTCAAAGGGATGAAGGACTCTCAGAATCACATGACTAAATGAGAAAGGTAAGCCAGGAAACACTATGGAAGTTATGACACACAGCTCCACCCAACTACAATATCTTCGCTTACAGGAAGCTTCTTCTCACCCAGGAAGCTTCTCTGATTATCCCAGGCCACTCTGAACCCCCAGAACACGCCTCTTTAAAGCTCAGCCTTCCACACTGCTCAGCACTGTTAGTGACTTTTAGGTACGTATATGGCTACCTCCTCAATTTGAAGGTGAGTTCTTGGGACCCAGAACACCACTGCTGTTTCCTCAGTGGACACCACAGGGCCCTCCCTGCACAGGGTAGGGCCACAGGCAGGCGTTTGCTGATCGACTCAGTGGGACAACTCCCCAAACTCACTGGGATCAGCCACCACATCTCACTGGGTGAGAGCCTCACTCTCACTGTGGGGTCTCACTGGGGGGCCTCACTCTCCAAGAACCTGAAAACACACCCCCTTGTGATGCTGCCAAGGCTCCTCCCAGCCTGCCTCCCATCACTACCTCCCCACCGCCACTCAAGCCCGGAAAGTCATGGAAACCCGCCACCACCTTGTCCATCCATCCCTTTCCTCGGTGGTCTGAGGGTCCAATCCACCTCCCCACCATGTCTACACATTAGCCTGCAGGAAAGGGAGCCACAAATAACTCCAAACATAAATGTGGCCTAAAAATACCCATAAATCATTCTGATTCCTTCCAGTGACGATTCTAATTTACAACAGGAAGGAAGAAAATGAACACTGGGGCTTTTTTTCCCCGAGCTTTGGCTGCTGCCAAGCCAGAATCCCACCCCACTATTATTAATACTTACAACCAGAAGTTCCAGAGTTACATAGCACAGAGATGAAATCTACCAGATGCCCATGGGCACAGGGGCTGAGGGCCATGGTTTGGCTGTGAATTCCCACAGCCTGGGTGGCCCTTCATTAGGGGCTCCACCCACACTTGTCACTTTCTACCTACCCCTTCATCAGGGGAGATCAGAGCAAAACCCTGCCTTCCTCTGATCCCGGTATCAATGGCTAATCTGTTTCCACAATCACCAGCCACAGTCCAGGGGTTGGGTCTGGAGCAGCCTGTTGAGGTAATCTGCATTTGAATGTTCTCTACAGTTGTTTTTTCCTGGCTGTGCAAGCAATGAACCCACGAGAACAGAGGGAACTGGGGTTTCTCCTATCCCAGCTTTTTCTTTGTTCATCATCATAAAGCATTGTTATTAGGTGTTTTTTAAAAAAATGCAAAAGCATAAAACAAAAGTTATCTCTCTCTGTGGGGCAATATAATAAAAGCCATTGGATGCTATTTTTAACAGCCATAAAAGCACATGATTAATACAGAAGAAGTCGTAATGACAAAGTGCGTCACAAAGAGCATCAGCGTGGAGGGTGAGCCGTTGAACTCGAGTGGGTCCCAGCCATCAATCCTGATACACTGGAGGACCCAAAGTGCCAGTGGACTCCGGGAGGCCCCTTTCTGGCCACTGTGAAATCCCAGGTGGATCGCGGCCAGCTTCTGGTCCTGGTCCAAGACAGGAGCTGCCAGACTCCCAGGGAAGATCCTTTACGAGGACCAGCAAGAAAAGCAAAGAGGGTGCTCTCACTAACTTGCCGGCCAATACGCACCATGATTCAAGTTCTCTCTCTCATGCTATGACATGTGGCTCAGTCCCTCAAACAATGGAAAAGAGGAACCAGGGGAATGTCTCCGTAGCTCCCTAAGGGTGAGAGCACGCAGGGTCCGGACGAAGGAAACCAGACCATACCCTGTTCTCCCGCAGGCCCCAAACTGAAGTTGGCACAACATTCCGAGATGTTTCTGCAGCGCCCACCTCTGCCCGAGCCCTGCGACACACCTGTTAGCCCATCTAATGATCTTCAACACCTGCGAGCTCCCTGAGGCTGCAACACCCAGAGGGAAACAGAAGGGTCTGTCAGTAGAGGGAGGGAAGCCAGGTTTTGGTTGGGGACCATCAGTTCCCAGGGGACCCGCTCAACTGAGCACCACCTGGAGAGGAAGATGCCACACACAGCTTCCCGCTCTCTCACAAACTTTCAAAGCACCAGTGGCTTCTTGGGATCTGCAGGAACCTTACAGATCCCAATGTATATGCCAAGGACTCTCAAAAATCAGAAACACCTTAGTTAAATCTGATTTCATGGAAATTGTAAATGGAGACTATTAGGGTAAGAAGGTAGGAAAAAAGAGAAACGACAAATGAGGTCTTGGCAAACAAAAATGCCTTTGAACAATAGGGGCCTGGCATCAAATGACCCCAGAGCAATTCCATCCTCTTGCAGCCTGGAAATGACATTTGTGAAGCAAGAGAGCTTTTCTGTTCTTTACCTCCACTCCCTGGACCTTCAGTTTCATGTGGTCCTCTCTGGTCGTTTTGCCATCTTTCCTCTTTTTCCAGCAATACCCATCTTTCCTGTATTTCACTTTCTTCCTGTTGTAGAGAATCATGGAGCCATTCTGGGGTCTGGAAACAACAAATGGTTAAGTTACCAAGAGAACCAAGCAAGAAAAAAATTTATGAAGAAAGATATCATAGACCAGTAAAAGTCTCTACAGAAAAGCAATATTCCACATTTGCTGGAACATAATTTTTCACCTTTTATTGCAGCTCTCTGGATTAACCGTGTTTTACGGCCAGCCAAAATTTGCTTGTGGATTTGGTACCTAATGAATTAAATGTGTCAATGATAGGCTTAAAAAACATCCCCTTAGTAATATCCACCATCTAATCAGGATATACGATGTGGGGGCCTGAGCTCTGCCCTGAAAAGCAGGAAAAAGAGAGAAAGCAAAAAAGAGCCGGGGGTGTTGTCGCAGCCTGCAATATCTTATCTCTTGTGGAAAGATTTTCTGCACATCTTTTAATCCATCACCCTACATTAGGAAATAAATAAGTTTAACGCAGACACTAGATGACTATGTTAAACGCAGACCAGTGGAAGAACTAGACGCCGAGGCCAGATGCTCTGATTCATTGCCTGCATTTAGATTCCTGCTGGATGGGGAAGAGCCCTACAGCACTTCTTCCCAAGCAAGCTAAGTACCTGATTTTTTCCCATTTGGGCTTCAGCTGTCAAAGGGCTCAGCACCACCAGGTAATCTGTCTATTCTGTCCACGACCATAGTAAGTTAGAAAAATAGTTACCCGCATGCTCATGCTAAGAGCAGGAGGGCTGTTCTCTGTGCCCTTTACAAAGAACAAAGAGAATTTTCCTGAAAGAGCTCAAGTGTCAACCACAGAGAGCAAAGGATGTTTACTCTCATCCTCATAGCCATGAAGAAAGTGAAAGTGCTAGTCACTCAGTCGTGTCCCTCCAGGCTCCTCTGTCCATAGGATTTCCCAGGCAAAAATACTGGAGTAAGTTGCCATTTTTTTCTTCAGGGGATCTTCCCATCCCAGGGTTCGAACCCAGGTCTCCTGCATTGTAAGCAGATTCTTTACCATCTGAGCCACCAGGGAAGCCCCTCCTAGCCATCACCTTGACGTATTTTAGTTTGGGGACATCAAGGAAACAAAGAGCTAAACTGTCCCGGCAGCCAAGGGCAGGTGTTGTGGCAAACCTTCCAGAATAAAGTTCCAGTAGCTATAGCCTGGAACATACTTCAAGGAAGATGCCCCTGAAAGCTATAGCACACGGTACACCCACCCTGGTCAGCTCCGTATCCCTCTCCACCTGAAGGCTCAGCACAGAGAAAGGAAAGGCCAGTGATCTGAGCACCCAGGGGACCACACAGGCCTTCTGTCTCCCTCCTAGCCAGTGTGAGACAGCTCCTGACACAAACAGGGCAAAGCAAGGGCTTTCCTCTTTTTCTTTTATTTTATTTAATTTAATTTTTATTCCTTAGCTGCAAGATGTGGAATGCTGGATCTTAGTTCCCTGACCAAGGATTGAACCTACACCCCCTGCAGTGAAAGCATGGAGTCTTAACCACTGAACTGCTAGGGAAGTCTTTTTTTTTTTTTAATCAATATATTTTTTATTGAAGTACAGTTGATTTGCAATGTTGTGCTAATTTCTGCTGCACAGAAAAATGATTTAAGTATACATACATATACCCTGATGCTAGGAAAGATTGAAGGCAAAAGGAGAAGAGGGTGGCGGAAGATGAGATGGTGAGATAGCATCACCAACTCAATGGCCATGAATCTGAGCAAACTCCAGGAGACAGTGAAGGACAGGAAAGCTTGGCGTGCTGTAGTCCATGGGGTTGCAGAATCAGACAGAACTTAGTGACTGAACAACAACATATATGTATGTGTGTATATGTATAAACACACATACATTTTGGGGGGCTTCCATGGTGGCTCAACGGGTAAAGAATCCATCTGCAATGCAGGAGATGTAAGAGATGCAGGAAGATCCCTGGAGGAGGGCATGGTAACCTACTCCAGTATTCCTGCCTGGAGAATCCCATGGACAGAGGAGCCTGGTGGGCTACAATCCATGGGGTCTCACAAAGTCAGATGCGACTGAACATGCATGCATACATTTTTAAAAATACTCTTTTCCATTATGGTTTGTCATAGGATATTGAGTAAAGTTTCTTGTGCTATATAGTAGGATCTTGTTTATTCACTCTATATATAAAAGCTTACATCTGCTAACTCCAACCTCGCACTCCATCCCTCCCCCAACCCCCTCCCCCTTGGCAACCACCAGTCTGTTCTCTGTGCCCAGGATTCTGTTTCTCTTAGATAGATTCCTTCTGATGCAAGCTGGCTGCTGTTTCTCTGCTGCAGTAGAGGTGAGGAAGTTTGCAACCAGGCTTCCTTGGGGCCCAGGGCAAAAGCCTCCATCCCATTCTTTTCTTTTCCTTGGAACTATGGGCCATTTCACAATTGGGCACAGACCACTGACTATTGATCTCTTACTATTCCATTGTCTATAGGGAAGAAAAGAATCACTCTAGGGTGACAGCGGCTAATTGTAGTTCCCACCCAGCAGGGAGGTGATGACTAACCAGCGATTCCATTGGAAATTACAGACTTTCTGCAGTGACTCCCAGCACTTCGTTGTTTGCTGATCACCGTGCAATTGGTTTGTGTCAGTGTTGGTTTCCTCCTTTAAGTCTGCGCTGACTAAAACAATCTGGAAACAGCTCAGCACGCTTGTCACAACCTGTCAGCTGATGATATCTGTCTTGCTCTTACCAGTCTGTATTGAAAACCTTACAGTTCTCTTTCATTTCTGAATGGCAGGGAAGCTGGAATCCGGGCCCCACTGTGCCAGGCCCTTTCCACTGCAGCCCTGTTCTCATCTTCAGAGAGCTGGCTCCCTAAAAGACCCATTAGACGGACCCTGAAGTCCAAACGCTGTACTTACCCACTTCCCAGGGAATAAGCAAAGAAGATATCCCACCAAATAGATGGGTGCTGCTTGTCTTGTCCCCTCCAAAGAAGAACAAAGAGACCCACAAGAGTGTTGCAGGGACCCCCTCCATCCCAGAAAACTCATCTATTGGAGAAGATGTGACATTAACCCTATCAGCTTCTCGTGAGCTGAGACAGGATTTGTGATTTGTTCTGTCCTCTTGGTCTTCCTAAACATAGTCACTGACCCTCTGCAGTGTCTTTAGGCCAACTGTCCCCAGATCATAAATGGTATAACCCAGAGAGAGTGGGCGTCCGCAGATACCATCATATCCACGGTCAGAACCACAACAGCACCCACTGAGGAAATCTGCCTTCTTCTGGTGACCCACCCTTTGCTTTCTGGGAGGGCGAGGGGCCCTGTCATCCGACACTTCTGGCAGGACATAATCCCACAGGGACCTAAGTGCCCAACTTAAATGGCCTTAATAAATGGAATCATCATTTTAACTCGCAATAATGAGCAACCTAATAGTGTTTAATCCACCACTCTGATTTTATTAGAACTTGCTGTGCTCTTCATGATGGGGAAAGTCCCTCCCCCCACAGTTCACAGGTCCTGAGGACAGAGAGGGAAAGCCAGGGGGCTGCAGCGGGGCCCATGTGCCCCCCCCTCAATGCAGAGGGAGTGGGGCTTCCCTGCCTGCCAGAGAACACTCAGGAGTGAAAAAGAGCAGAGGGGAAGATCTGAGGAAGGAGTGGAGGCTGGGGCACTACTCTGGGGGGAAGGAGAGGTGGGCTAGACCCCATGAGAGGGGCCCCATCAAGGGAGAACTTGAGTAAGTTTCATTTCTGCCTAAAAGGGAGCACCCACTTGAGAGGAGCAAAGAAGTGGGAATGGACTTGAGGACAGAGGGTGATGCAACTGCAAGGAAGATGCACAGAAAAATCAGTGTTTTCTTTTATGTTACCAGCTCCCAGTGAGCACCAGCTCTAGGGGGAGCACGCCTAGGTTTGCTTCTATCTCTACATCTACAACTACATCTGTGCTCAAGTCACTCAGCCGTGTCCAACTCTTTGCAACCCTGTGGATGGTAGCCCACCAGGCTCTAGGTCCCATGGAATTTTCCAGGCAGAATACTGGAGTCGGTAGCCACCTCCTATATCTGCATTTGTATCCATGTCTATAGCCACATCTGTCTCTCCATCCTTGTCTACATCTATACCTATATCTATGTCTACACCTACATCTGTATCTGAATCCATGTCTAGTCTGTATCTGTATCTACATATACTTCTTTATCCATGTCATTTTTTTCATCTTCATGGCAACCCTATGAAGTAGCTACTATCACCATCCCCAACATAAAGATGAGGAAAACAACTCTTTCTAGCCAGAAGGTGACCGAGCAGACGTCACTTGGAATCACTGTGACTGCAGAGCTTCCTCTGAGGCATAGACTGCCAGGCCAGGTTTGAATCCTAGTTCTGCCCTTCTGGCTGGGGGAATCCTGATGCCCTGAAAGCACCCTTCATCCAGCAGATGAGGACTTGGTGGTTTCCTTCCAGGTTTCCTCACTTCCTGTCTGGGTGGAATAATATGGAAGCCATCCAGACCTCCTTATAAGCTCCAGTCGCCCATGATGGTGACATGCTGGGGAAAAGTACTTTTTTTTTTTTTTAATGCCTCCCCTTCCTCTCTCATGTTCAGACTCCTCCTCCAGCATTTCCTGGGACCACCTGTCAAATAAACTGCCTGTACTGAAATCCTTGTCTCAGGAGCCCCAACTGAGAGAAACTGAACTAGCAGTGACAGTCTAAGAGTCTCGGAAAAACAATCCAAGTCCTCCGTGGCAGCAGGGAGGGGAACATTAAAAGAAGAAAGGTGAACATCCAGGAGCTTCATTCTCACCAGGGAGGTTTCTAGGCAAGAAACCTTTCAATCGGATAACCTATCTAAAGGGCAGCAACAGAGATGCAGACACAGAGAACAAACTTGTGGACACAGTGGGGGAGACAGAAGATGGGATGATCTGAGAGAGTAGAACTGAAACATATACATTACTGTATGTAAAGTAGATGGCCGGGGGAATTGGCTGTATGACTCAGGGAAAGGCCATGCTCTGTGACAACCCAGAGGGATGGGAGGTGGG